AGATGCCACCCAGGAAGAGATCGAAGCCGCCCGAAAACTACCTTTCAATGTGAGGGCGTATCAGCAGCGGGGGACCGCGGGCCAATGGTTGATTCCGACTGAAGCGGACTGGGGTGCGCCTTCGGGAGCGCCCAATCCCAAGGAGGATGACAAGATGGAAGTGGATGAGCCAAAGGTCATCGAGATCGATGAAGTCTTTGAACCACCCACTACCACGCCTCCGGGGACGGACGGCCGCGATCAGAACAATCAGGCTCCTGCCTCTGCAGCTGGTATGGAATTTGTCACTGCAAATGTGCCCATTCCGGCTGAGGGTGACAAAGAGCTTGCGCCGCCAGAGCTCACTGAGGAGGATGAGCTGCTGGTGATGAATGATCCTCTTGATGATGAAGAGCAAATCTTGGAGTTGCTACAGCCACACATCGCCGCTGCAGAACTTCAAGGACATGAGAATGTCGACCAACCGGATGACGATGACGACCCCGATGAAGAGATCCTGTTTGACACACCTATCCTCACGCACCTGCCCGATTCAATGCGTGATGAAGGCTTCAAAGTGCAAGGAGTATTGTATCAGCTACGCCTCAATCCAGAAGAGCCTGACATCGTTCGAATCTACACTGATGAGGATTCGATCCCAGCGCTCGAAGGCGAGGCCCTCAGGAAGTTCAAGCAAGTTACTGAATTCCATGGAGGAGCTGATCCAGGTGTGAAGGACAAGAAGGGGACCAAGATTCGTCCTGCTGATGTGCCACCAGCCAAACGAACTGGTGAAGAACCATCGCAAGAGCCCAAGCCCAAAGCATCCAAGAAGTCCTCAGAAGAGACTGCATCATCGTCGTCGGACGTACGCCCGGCGGGAGCCGAGGCCACTGCTGTTGAGAAACCTACATCGAAGCCTCAGCCAAAGCCAAAGGAACGCCCGGCGGGAGCCGTGGCCGATACAACCACTTCTGCCACGGAGAAGCCTGCAGTCAGGCCAAAGGTGATGCCCAAGGTTCAGCCGAAGGCTCCACCTATGCCGAAAGGTGCCACATCACCGCTTTCAGAGAACCAGGTGGTGGCACTACAGTCCAGGGAAGTGCCCGGAGCCTCCAAATTGGACCACCTTAACTCCGACCAAGTGTGGCTTTCACGCCGAATCTCTGGTTTCCTGCGAGGGTGGGAACACACGAACAAGCGGAATCGTGTCCCACCACCGGCATTCCAGAAGGGACTTTGGATGGAGTTCAACCATGTCTACATGTACATCAAGAAGAAGTACATGCAGTCGTTGACCGTCGATGACATGTTGGTTGTCCTCACGAGCAACCATCGTTTCATGATGGAAATCAAGGTGGCGCCAAAGGGGACTTTGGTCGGGGGAAAAAGACAGTACACGCCAATGCGCCTCAAAGCCATTCAGCACCACAATGACTGGTCTTACCAGAATGTGGAAGAGGCGTTGCCGGAGCATGAGCGCTTCATTGTGCTGGATCCGGAGTATGGCGTTGCCGAGTATAACAGCGGCAAATTCCCTCGTATGCCAGTGAATGCCCATGGACGTGTAGAGGACATTCAGCCAACGATCCTCTATCACTACACGCACCATGCATCTATCCAGGACATCATCAACATGGGATTGATTCCTGGTGGCAACAGGACCGGTGACATGTATACGTTTCTGACCAAAGAGGACCCATGGAGCATCAGCACGACAGACTATGCAGCAATGGCATCTACTCGGCCCGTCTGCATCGCTCTCGACTTGCATATGATGGCAGTCCATGGACATCGCCTCGTGGAAACGACGGCCGGTACAATCCTTTGCCCTGATTGGATCTCCTGTCGCTATGTCATGTTCGTGTATGACATGTCCAATGCGTGCTACTTGTATGCCAACCACGTGTATGCCCATTACCGTGCAATCTTCCAAAAGAAGAAGAAGGCATTCCATGAAGCACGCAGCGGGGGACCGCTTGCCGGAGATGAAGAGTTGATCACGTCAAGGTTGGAATCTTCCACCAAAGACGTCCTCGATGACTATGAAAGATGGTGTGGCAAGGTGACCACATTTCACCCTTTCATCTTCGGTGGCCAGTACCAGGTGCAGGGTGTCAAGGATCAGATGAAGGCTGGTAAGAATCTGCCGGATCTCAATGTGCTCGAGACAATGTATGTCACTCGGCGGCCAAATTTCCGGGCAAACCGCAACAGCATTAGCCCCACGGAGATGCTGCCGAACTACAACCGGCCCAGATTCGACTTCAGAGCCTGTGATCCAGCGAAAGAGGGCTATGGCAAGACGCAATGGCTTGTAGTGGAAGGAATTCAAATGCCTGAAGGGCACTGCCCTACTTGTGAACTCCATTTCACTTTCGGCTCGATGTGTTGCGGCAAGTGCGGTACTTTCTTGAACACCGCGTCGGACCTTTGCAAGGCCGCCCAGGTCATTCGAATGGAAGAGATCGCCTCTGAAATGGGCGTTGAACTCTCACTCGATATGGTCCAGGAAGATCGGCTACAAGGAACCGGCATTCGCAACACGCCTGCGGGGACGCATGGCCATGATCCCAGAGCTAATCGATCAGGTATCAACATCCTGAAGACAAATGCTCGAAGCCATGTGAATAAAGCGGACAAAATGGGCATGACCATTTCGCAGAGGCAGTTGACAGATCCTCTGTATGCCTTCAACTGTGCGGCACAAGATCTATCACCGCTCTGCATTAGCTTCTTGGAGAAATTGGCAAATTGCGGTCATTCCGGACCCACCAAGAACGCATCAGATGATCATGCAGGGTGTCGGCCATCGCTACGCTGGAAAGCTGATTTACATCAACGATCCTGAGAAGGTGGGAGAGGCGGACATGAGCAAAGATTTCCTAGTATATTGGAAAAACAGGCTCTACCGACCCGAGGTCTTTGCCGCAAGCTATGCCCAGAACGCAAAGCGCCCACCGATATTGGGATTCCACTCTGAGTGGAAGACTGATGAAAAGGATCCAGATGAGCTTCTCCAGCTTCTGCTCGACTTCATCGCTGAGGATATTGCCTTCATTCCGAACGTTGACTTGCAGCTTGGCAAGGAGACTAGGACCATGGTAGTTCCTCGAGCGAAAGCAGACTCCGCATCAGCCAAAGCCCTTGCGAGGGCTTCACAGGATCAAGCACGTGCTCATGAAGATTGGCACCAGACTCAATGGTCATCCGCTTCTTCATCGTGGAATCGCGACCGAGACTGGAGCCAAGGGTGGTGGCAAGATCGCTCAAGCCAATGGCAGCGTGACGATCGCTGGAACCGTGACTGGTGGAGCTCACGCAACTGGTAGAAACATCCGCACGACGGGAGTCGTTGCCTTTGGATTCAAAATCGAAAACCCAAACAAAAAGGAAATATCCAATAGGCAGCATGGCTCTCAGCTGTGAGGCTGTTCTTCCTCCATCGCACCGCGGGAGCGGTTGCCCTTGATGATCGCTTCTGTGTTGCACCGGGGGACCGGATGCCGAACTTCGCTTTTGCGCCAGCAAGGTATAATTCGAATGTTGAAGGTCGAAGTACCTGTCACATTGCAAGTCCAAAAGACGCACATACTTTTGTAGTGCTGATTCGCCACGCGGGAGCGTGTGCCAACCGGTGATGCTTCTGCTTTCTGAAAGGCCAATCGTGCACTTACCGCCTGATGCGTCAAAAGATTGTGCTGTTTTATCATGAGATGACCCCAATCATGTACAGCTTTGCAGTACGAGTGAACACTAGCATGAACCTGTCAGTGATTTCTCTGCCCTTGAGGTCAAATATCCTCTCCATCTCAAAGGCAGGAGCCGGTTTCGTTCGAATCGCACGTACCGGGGGACCGGTTGCCGTCGTATGTCCCAAATTCACTGTACATAGTCTTCACTCCTCCCCATTTTCGTTCAGCGGGGGGTGTTGTTTCACGCTAGTGTAGTATCATCTACGTCTCACTCGTATTACTTTGGCTCAAGGCAAAACAGGTGCGACTAGGTGGCGCTTATCGGTCGTTTTCCTGTAACTACATAAGTCTATACTGTAAACTTACATGTCAACCCCTCGAGAATCTCTGG